CTTACTTACTTCTTCTTCTCTCTCTCTCTCTCTCTCTCTCTCTCTCTCTCTCTCTCTCTCTCTCTCTCTCTCTTATCTGAAATTAAATGATATTAAATGATATTAAATATATAAAAACCGAAATCATATTGAAATCATATAGTCATATTGTAGACAGATTGTCGATTTTTATAATTATTTTCTTTTAAAGTACTAACGACTTACACAAGAAAATTTCGATTTGAAAATGTATGACTAAATATTACATATACTTAAATTCCAATAATTTTGGCTATACAAAATTATTTCTTTCTTAATAATGTCTTAATTAATAATACAATGAAAAATATTCAAATATATAGAAATAGCTACCACTAATAAATTTAATCAAAAAATAATAAAATGCCTGTTAAAACAAATCAATTTTCATACCTCTAATATATTCAGTTGATTAAATTGACGCAATAGAAGAGTGATATGTTTATTATTTTAGTTAGTTATTATTTTTTCTTGGTTCCACATTCAACCATAAACCACCTTCGGGCTTTATACTCAAGCCACCTTTAACGAACTTGATCGGTATCGATGTTTTTTCGCAGATTTTCAAGTTGCAACGGGATAACAAATGAAAAAGTAAAATCTTCGTCTCAAGCAATGCGAATCTGTTACCTATACACATCCTGGAGCCAAGACCAAAAGGAAGGTAAGCTCCGCAGTTCAGAATATTTTTTTTCTTCTCACCAAGAAACCGTTCGGGATCAAACTTTTCCGGCTCTTCGAAATACATAGCATCATAGTGGAGTCCATAAACTGGTATCCATACGCCGCATCCTTTTTTTATAGTAAAAGGTTTCTTTCCTGGTAATGCTGATGGTAATTCGAAATCTTTTACGCAAACTCTGTCGATTGCCGCAAGAGCCGGATACATTCGAAGAGCTTCGCAGATCACTGCATCTAAATATTCCATGGCGTTAATAGTTTCGTAATGTACTTGTCCATTGTTTTCTTTCAAAGTTTGATCGATTTCATTTTGGAGTTTTTTTTGTATATCTTGATTTGCAGCGATTTCATGAGCGGCGAAACATATTAACGTTGAATTGGCATCAAAGCCATCAACAAAAAAGAAAAACGCCAGCGATACGATATCTTCGATAGTTAGCTTTACTTTGCCGTCCTTACTTCTGTTTTTCATTAGCAATTGCAACACATCAGGCCGGACAATACCATTCTCGTCCCTAGCTCTTATGATGTTTTCCACAATATCTCGGAAGGTGTCTGCTATTTTCTTATGTATCAATCTCAAATTTATTAGTCGCGCCAGCCAAGGTAAAAAACTAAATATCCAAAATTTTATGAAGACCACATCATTGTAAGCAGCCGCCTCTTTGCCATATACATAGAATTCGTTCTTAGAATTTTTCCTGGAATCAATATTGATTCCAAGAGCAAAAGCAGCAATTACATCGTTCGTATACCTACTAATAACGTCTTTCATTTGCATCATCCTTTGTTCTGGTGGTAATTGCGCCAAGAAAGTGCAGAAATCGGCACTATATTCCGACATTAACTTAAACATACTTTTCATTTTGCTAGGCGTGAGGGCTGAAGTCACTAAAGAGCGTAATTGTCGCCATCTCTCTCCACGAGAAGAGAAAATATTTTTACTAAATAATGGATCTTGCATCTTGTCTATGGGGTTTAGACGATGCGGAAACGTATCAAATTGTTTTATCATAATGGATTTAATAAGCTCGGGGTCACGCACCATTATAACTGGAGTAGTCCAAATATCAAATATCCCGATGTATTTTGCTTTAGAATGCAGATTGTAAAACTCCTTAACGAGTTCGGCTGTCGATTTGAGACAAAAAATTGCTGGTCCCATATTTCCCAGTATAGGAAGAGGTAGTTTATATAATATACCATGTTTTTTAAAGTAATTCAGATCTTTAAAGAAATAATAATAAAGGCCTAGAATAGCCGCTAGCATCAATGAAGCAATTATGTATATGTATATGTTCATGTTAATATCACTGTTATTCCCTTTAACCAAAATGTACCATTATATGTACCATAATTTTGTGGAATGTAAAATCAATTTTTGCACTTTTTGGCAATTAGCTTGAAAAGTTTTACTTATTGTATAAAGGTACGATGTCACATAACAGTAGCACTGTAATAACTGATAATTGACTGTTGATGTTCTAGAATAAGCCCCTTATTATACTTTCAGATTTGTCTGATTAGTTTATCTAAGTAGAGATATTTATTGATATATAATATTGAATATTGATTAATATAAATATTCATAAGTGTTCATATTTATTTAATTTTATTGAAAATTGCATTTATATTGCATAGATTTACTATCTGTGCTTAATTATTTATTTATAAAAATGATGTATAATTGTTAAAAGTAAAGATTTTCACTTTTTTCCCTATATTACTGTTAAATATAATATTCCCATATATAATCGTTAAAAGAACCGTTTTTCACTTTTTTCTCAATATATATGATATTATCGTAGTTTGAATATGCATATTTATTAATAGAGCATTTGTTCATAAGTAATCATGAATTTAATAATTTATTATTCAATAATTATAAATATATATTATAATAATTATATATTATAATAATAATAATTATAAATGCCTACACAATATTTCAAGTATTAGTTATTCAAGTATTAATATAAATAGCGACACGTGGTTAGTGATAAAAAATTATTTGAAATTTATTTCATATATAAAAATTGAGCAATCAAGATCCTGATTTCCTAAGAAATTGGCTATAACTTTATTTATTTATTAACACATACTCGATTTATATTAATGTATTTTTTATTACTGTTGTACATCATATTTGCAGACATTCACGCGAAAATAATTATCAAATTTCAGTTTTTAATAAACACGAAAAATAAAAACACGAAAACGTTATTAATAGACATATTTGTTTAAAAAATATCGGAATAATAATAAAGTAAATTAATATTATATTATTGTCTAATTGTTCAAAATTTTAACAATTCTGCGTATGTATTTTAGTAAAACCGCTGACCTTTAATAACTTTTTGCACAGAAAATGTTTTAAAGGCGTAAGAAATTGATATTTTTATCATTTTTAATTTTAATTACTTTTGTTGGGCTAATTCTTTGATTTGTTACAACAGAGATGAATTTTATCGCTAGGAAATTTGTGTAATTAAAATAATTGATATATTTATTTAGTAAATTTATTTAGTAAATTTATTTAGTAACTTTCCGGTTTCTATTTCATATTCTTCTTCTTGTCAATCCATTTTTTCAAATAAATCATATCAATCATCATAAATCATATCAGAAGGAAAAATATGTTTTACAATTTAGAATATGTTTTCTCCGCTCAAATCTGAAGAGGTGATAACGAAAATTAAAAGAACTTTATCATTGATAAATGATTTTAAACATACTGATAACTGATTTATTACTGATTTACGAATAAAACTGCTGCTCATAAAATAATGTAATGTATAAACAGTAGTTATTCAGATATATTAGAATAGAATGATAAAATATTTATAAACAGAATCGATACACATCAAGGTTTG